AACACACAAAAATATCATTTTGTTTGTCCAACAAGTTTTAAAAATGTTGCCCGCTTCTGGCGAAATAATGATATAGACGATGTTCAAATTCTTCAAAAACGTGTTATGGGATATCATGGTAGCTTTCGATGATGCGTTGACGAAGTTCATCCAAACTTACAGGTTGGAGAGTGAATACAAGTCATGGGAGCAGGCAATTCTATAGGTCCTCTTCGCCCTATCCATTTATCTGGAAACTCATCGTCTAGCCATTGCCGAACCGGTAGAACATAGTGAAGAGGAGCGCCATCTTGCTGGAAATATATTTCTGCCTCATCAGGTATAGGGTTTCCACTCTGTTCGATTCGGTTTTCAATGGTTTCAGTGATAAGCGGGTTGACGGAATTTTCCAACATCCAAATAAATGTCTCTTTTGGGCACCATAAGTTACAATCATCTCCATTCTTTCGGCTAGTCTGTATGCCATTATGGAAGTAAAACATGAATCAATAAATCAATTTTCACTATCCCAGATTGTCACAAAGGTAACTGACAGCAAATTAGATTATTTCTTTCCCTTAGCAACAAATAACTAAACAGGTGTAACAATAAATACAGTTCGCCCAGGATATCTGTGTTGAAGAAAAGAATGCGGAAAAATGCGGGTTGTTATTCGGTTGTTGCCGCGTCTAATCTTCCGAATTGCTGTTTATGTGGGTAGTTTCCGTTTCAAGTTATAAACGAATTGTAGATTCGGCAACATTTTGAACACTTCATTATAATAGGTGATATTTTGGTGTGTTTTTGTTTTCTATTTGAACAAATTAAGGTAAATAAAGATTTTTTTGAATGACGACAAGCTTTTACTCTATACCCCTGCCATTTATAATTTTTAAGAGAATGACCCTGGGGGCCGTGAGTGAAAGGGGGTGAAGTAGTTTTTGTTAAAAGGTTCTCCCCCTTGACAAATTTTTTGACGTGTCTCGACGTTTTTTCCTTTAATCGGTGGTTTTCGATAAATCCGTGGTAGAAAGTTTTCAAACGAACACCTTGTACGTACATCTGTTATTATTTTTCAAGGTTAGTACCTTCTAGTGACTGGAATATCATTGGTCACCCCTTCAGGCAGACGCGTTGGAAAGCTTAGCAAATGCGCGCAAAAAAGCAGAATTAGCGAGAAAATTTCACCTGTTACATTCAAACGTCTGATTAAAATCTACTCAACGCTTTTGTGGAGCTGAGCCTGAATAAAACGCAAATGTACAGATATCCTGCTAAATACACACGTAGTTTTTCTTCCCCAGACAGTGTCACGTGCCAAAATCACATAACTTTCTTTTTTACTATTTTAATCACTTATCAGTAATTTGAATGTCTCTTTATTGATTATAGAGTACCGATTCTTAGATACAAACCCTTTCCAATGATTTCCTTTTAGTAAATTTCACAGTTTGATTGTAGAATTTCTCAGGTATTATATCAGTCATTCTCAGGGACTCAGTATTATGTGGACACTAATGTTATAATATGATCAACGACAATCTTCGAAATTTCCTCATAAAATGTTGTTGTGCTTCCTACACGTACTAGCCGTATATAAATGTTTACCTTCCTATCAAAATACCTTCTGTTGAAATTTGCTTTACTATCAAGATACCTTCTTTACTGGCTTTTATCTGTTCCTTTTGATTTTGTATCGAACGTGCCTTCTTCAGGGCCACTGATTTAACCTTTTTTCAGGAGGTTGCATGCGCAGATGGTCCAGTGCCATTTTCTTTCTTCTTTATGTTGTAGTTTTGGTTGTGTGTGGGCGTTTTTTCGTTAACTTCCAGATTTTGGGATATTAATGCCCCAAAACACCAGTTTATGGAGCAGTACCCTTTTATTTTGTACCTTACATTTAGTTGTGTTGGTTTGGGCACTACCCGTCCATTTTGTAATGGGATTTTAATCTCCAGCGGTAAGTTTTCTTTTATATATCATCGGTCTACGTCCACTAATGCTTGTCCTGAAGAAGTTTGTTCAATATCTGCTTCCTTTTAGTGGAAAGCCATTGCGGAGAACCACCATTCATGCTCCTCCAGCTTTTTTTTGTAGCTGCCTTGTAGCTGTTTCACAGCTGATTTTGTTGGAATCCATCCCTTCCCTTCGACAAAAAAACCTGATGTGAACAGATAAAACATATTATTTTAATTGGGTATTTTATAGATATTGATTACTGACTGAAATTCTTAGAGAGTTCTTGATTTTGTTTGGCATTTTACGTATGCAAATATAGGGTAGTGCCTACATGTCACTGTCTTTTGGGCTTATTATATTACATTAATCATGATTTTGAATTATGAGCTGTCGTAACTTATTTTAGGACAAGGGATAACTTTCTGAGGGAATATCACTTTGATAAATTTTTACCTTTTCTTGCCTTTGCAGAAAGAAAAGTAGTTTTCTTGTAAAAGAGAATGTACATCACGGATTTTTGTTGAGTCTCTTAAATGTGTAGTTCTGTCTCAGACATAGAGTACAGAGTAGATATTTAAACAGTTTTTCTCTCTCTATTTTTTTTTCATACCGTAAATTTTGAGAAGAGAAACTTTGTTTAATGTTGGCCCACAATTTTTTGAGCGTGCTTGTTCTATTCCATTGAAGGTTTCTGGAATCTCCACAGTTATCTGTTTTTATTTCCAATGGTCCCTTAAAATTTGACTCGGATTTCGATCAAACGCATCTTATCCTTATCGCTAGACATTTATTTCAGTTACGCTAAAGAGTAGGTATATACTCGTACCTATAACTACAACTTGGTCACGCATAATTTAATAATACGAAATTTAAGTCTTTTTGTGAAATGCTGTAGTAGTTGAATCTGACAGATATGCTGGCAGACGTAACCTACAATCTGCACCCAGCAGAGTAGTTCGGTGCCTACATTCAGTATTTTGACTTCACTGTGATTGCGCTGTAATTTGAGGAAGCAAGTAGATTATTATATTGTTTATTGATAGTATAAGCACGCCAAATCGTCACACTTTTATCATCAAAATGCAAAATGGATACGACCAGCAAAGAAATATAGATTAGGAATACACATACCATGACGATAAACTTTTCGATGTGGCGAGACGAAACTACTTCCTTTCCGTTTTCTATACACAAATAATTATTTTGCAGGAAGCCAACACTGTCACAAGATGAAAAAAGTTATAAAAGCATGAAGTGTCGGTACCTGGCATTGCGTCAATTCACAACACGTCGCAATGGGTGACGAGACTCATCTCGTCTTTATCATTGCTTGCCTTTGATACAAAAAGGGACCATTTGTTGCTCCCCCTGCTAACGAACTCCCTTAATCTACACAAAGATAAACGCCGAGAATTTTCAGATTAGACGGCCTTATATTTGTTAAAGGGTGCGCTGTCTGTGTTATTCCAGTCACAATTGTGACTAGGCTGTATGTTATATAGTACCAGCATTACTAGCAAGAAAGTAACAAAATGCGGGGGCGCAGTGATAGCTTGGTATAATGAAATGTTAGTTGGAAAGGTGTTTTCGTTCTCTTGAAAGAATATGGAGAAATATAAAAATATGTCCAGGTAGTCTACATTTCAAGCAATTGTTCCCATGCAAGTTGAATCCAAACTATTGTCGACTTTGTAGGTTTTGTAGACTTGGGCAGTCCAAATAAGGTGTACGCGATCTAGGCACTGAAGACACTAATGTAATTAAAATGTAGAACCTATGTAAGTTTGATATTATTATTATAACAGTAAAGACCTTCGATACATGAAATGAATGCCCCCAAAACAGTATGCAGTATTGTAAGTTAGATTAGAAGGCTGTCTTCAAAGTCGATTTTGCTACGTAGGTACTTAAACTGTACTATACTCGTATACTATAAGTTATTTTAGATAACTTCTTTGATAAAATGCTGATTTGTGATTCCCAAGTTAAGTTCGCATCAATAAACACTCCAAGGAATTTCATTTTTTATTAAATTACTTTCATGTGGACGAGTACTGAGGGTCCGCTATATTAAGAGTCAAGCTAGTGGCACTAACCCAGTTTTGTATGTTGTAAAAATGCTATTCAGAATAGTTTAATGCCTTTGATTCAGGGTACAGTTTGGCACATCATTAATGTAAATAAAAAAAGAGTCGGTCCTAAGACGCTTCCTTGGGGAACTCCGAGGTTAACTTGTGCATATAAACTATTTTGAAAACCAACATCCTGTCTTTTGTCTGACAAAAACACGTAATTAAGACCAGCTGTTATTTCTAAAACCATAAAGAAATCACGTCATGCGCCTGTTTATTTTCACCCTATGGCCTAATTTTCCTGATCTATCATTACGTCTTCCGTGTTTTGCGAGGCATCATGCGCCTGTACGTAAGCACACAACGAATCAGGGAGGCCAGTGTTTAAGGGTAAGTAATGAGTTTGCTTTGCGAGAACAGAATACAGGATGTATGAGATTCTGACATGGGAGATACTGGAAGTTCTGAGTGAGAAACTTTATAGCGCAATAGTGAAAGAAGTCGGAAGTACTGTTGTGTGAGGGTTGGGAGTCTAATTGATGCTCTGCTTACGTTGGGATTAAATTCATTATAAATCTAACGAATAAAGTCAATATGATATAGTCATGGAGATTTTTAGTTAGGTCATAATTCAAAAATAGACTTGTTTTTCCCAATAAACGACCTTGGAAATTCGGTTCACAAAAAGAGTATTGGGAATAAACTGACACTTTCAGTGAACAATCTGGGAGTGCCAGTGAATAACTTTTACCTAATTTTTTGGAAGGTGGCGTAAAAAATTGGTGGACGGTTTCCCCTTTTTTTTACATAAACTGCTTGGTTTAATGGTAATTTTGGACATGGTCTTTATATACTAAGTGACATATAAATCCGAACACCCAGTTTAAATGGTTTTATTTTAATAAAATTTTGTATAAGTACTTAATGAAGCATAATAAGTAAATAGTAAAAATTTCAAAATGATTGCACTGCTTTAAAGCCCTTTGACCTTTAATAATGTGTGGATGCACCCTGATGTGCTACGCATTCTCCAACGCACCTAGGCATGCTTCTGATCAGTTGGTCAATGTCCTCCTGTGGTATCTCATTCCAGGCAACCACCAACTCCTCTCGAAGTGCTTCTAGAGTCTAAGGAGGACGTTGCAAATTGAGCAATCTCCTACCCATCATATCCCACACGTGCTCAATTGGGGATAAGTCGGGAGATCTTGGTGGCCATGGTAACAATGTGACATCATTATGTTGAAAGAAGTCTATTGTGACTCTTGCAACATGTGGTCGGGCATTATCTTGTTGGAAAGTTGGATCTGTCAGGGTGTCAAGATAGGGTAAAAGATGGGGTTCTAGAACTTCGAGGATATAACGCTGCGCGTTCATGTTACCTCTGATGAAGATTAAAGGTGACTTGGAACCATAAGCTATAGCACCCCAAACCATAACTCCAACAGTGTGATGAACATGTCTTTCAACAAAAAACTGTGGATTCCTCCTTTCACCACGTCGCCTTCTAACCCTGGCACGACTATCGTGCATGCCTAAACAAAATCGAGACTCGTCACTAAAGACAATACTGTTCCATTCCTGCTCCCAGAGTGACCGTTGTCTGCACCACTCAAGGCGATTACGTCGGTGTTCTCGAGTTAAAGGGAGGACCCAGTGTGGCCGGTATGAAAACAAGCCAAAAATTCTCATTCGTCGGTAAATACTTCGCATGCCAATAGGTCTTCCGTGTTCTGCAAACCATTCATTTGCAATGGACCTGGTAGTGGAGAAACGGTCCCTTAAGGCCAATAATCTTAGGCAGCGATCTTCAGGGTCTGTTGTTCTACGGCGGCGTCCAGTGCCCCTTGCTCTTTGCGTACGGCCTACTCGAAGCCATGCCTGACAACACCTAACCACAGTGTCTGCACTTCTTTGCACTCTAACTGCAATTGCCCGAAAAGAAAGTCCAGCTTCCCGAAGTCCCACTATACGGCCCCTATCAAACTCACTAAGTTGACGAAATCGTACAGGTCTCCGAACTCTAGGCATCGTAACCGATCGTAAAGGATGTCAAGAACCAAAATCCGCCAACGTTGATTCTTTACTGCGGCTGAAATATACATTTTTAGAGCGTTAGTGAATTTAAAAAAGGCAGTATAAAAACCGGAATGTCCAACTGATAAGGCTGAAAATTTCACTTGTTATTTACAGTAAGATAAATACATTCACCAACTTTTATTAAAATAAAACCATTTAAACTGGGTGTTCGGATTTTATATGTCACTTAGTATATATGAGAGGCAAGGATCAAGGTTATTATGCAGTCACTCAGTACCTTTAGTGCCACATAGCTGTAGTGAGAAAAAAAATTAATTAAACCAATTAAAAAATATAATCAACTGTGTGACAGCTGACAAGCTTAATTAATTTAATGAAACTCTCTGATTTCTAAAACAGTGTACTTAACTTTATGAAAGTAGAATAATGATACCAAAGTGCAGTTGTTTAATTGAATTTATTAAACCGTTTACTTAAATTGATTATATTAATTTATTTAAAATTAATGAACTAATCAAATGAGTTTACCTGCTGGAAGTAAAACAATTTAATTATATTTAATGCATTTGTTTAATTAGTTTAAGTTAAAGTCTTTGTATAGTTTAAAAATCATTTAATTTATTTAGAATTTAAAAAATGTTTGAATAACATTTGAAATTTATTAGAACAAATTGTACATTTATTTCTAAAAATTAAACAATATTGTACTCACCCGCATTCAACGCCTTTACATATATAAATAAATTCGACATTACTTTAAATAAACCAGGATATTTTCAAATACTACAAAGCCTGCACCAAGAGAAGGTTCCACTTTCTATATATGTATACATTATGCAATATAAGATAAGAGCACATCAAGCCTAAGTTAAGCACATGTTTGGTATAAAATGCCCTAAATTTGGCTGCATTAGTAGAATTTCCTTCACGCGAGCAGTGACATCCCCATACAGAGTACTTAGTTGGGAGCGAGAAAGATTCTAACCATAGTTATGGGTAAGTATTAGCTTTATGCTTGATTATTCCACTTGATCAACATAACAAATTGATCGACTTCACAACGTTCGAATATGAATCTCATCGCGAAAATCACAAATAAAGGTGAGAAGTTCGGAGAGCGTCACCGTCACTAATGAAGAGCCGGGTCCTGCGGTGGTCTCGACTCAAATAAACAGTTTATCTGTTTTTATTAAAATGTTCATTTTTTTTATTTGTACATTTTAATAGTATATTACTTTCACTCACACTGGTTTCAGAAAATTCAGGTTAACTTAGCAGAACAATTTAGTTAGAATAATTAGAAAAACAATTCAATTGACCACGTTTACTCAGTGTACCGGAACAAGGTACTGCTCTTCTCCTGAATACGAATGCAAAACGAAAAAACACCTCCACCTTGATATCGAGATGCGCTTCCTGAGAAGTAATGAGAACTCAAGAACTCCAAGGCCAAAACTATACCCGCTCATATGTTAGACACTTAGGCATCATGATTAAAAAAAATATTTGGAATTAGTATAATGCAAGAGTGTTGAACGTTATGCGATAAATGTATCACTCCTTCAACTAGAGTTAATCGCACCTTCTGTTAGGCTAATCGCCAGAAGCTAACCAGATCCGGCAATGTGCTATGGCGAAAGAACATCAACAAAGCGCAGCACGTCCCGTGCTCGCGAAAAAAGAAGGAAAAAAAAAGATAAGGAGAGAGACGAGCTGGCTACTAATTGCTAACGCAGCATGGCATGCGGCGGCGTTGCCTGTTACCTGCGGCGAAGATAAAACAACAGGAGCAGCAGCATGAGAGACACGGGAGCAGAAAGGGAGTTGTAGGGAGTTGTAGATCCACCGAGAGCTGGGATTATCCCGAGTACGACACGATGCGATTTATATAAGTGCCTGGGGGTGCCGCCACCGTGGAGCTATGAAAGAAGCAGCGCTTGATACGAGACGTGCCGGGAAGTTAAATATTGCAGAGTACGTTGTACACCAAATGTGCATCTAGACTACCTACAATAAAGAACATGTATGATATAATGTCATCTTGGCTGTTGAATAAAGCTGCCTTCGTAACAGAAATTTTTATTCAACGGCCAGGTTAATATAGAGACTAATCAGAATGTAGGTACAGGATCAGCTATTACGCTGAAGGTCTTCCCGCAAACAAGAGATATCTACGCTCAGGTAAGCCACGTTTTCCCGCCTGAATGACTGCTGGATGTAAGACCTGCCTACCTAGCTACGTTGAATAGACCTGGAACTCAATTTCTTTATCGTAATGTTAGACCAGCAACCTATTGCTTATCAGCGCTTGAACGTAATGAGCACAGCAGTGCCACCAGCAACCTTATTAGATTGCTTCTATTACAGGGTGTCCAAGATTAAGTTCTATTCATGGGGATCTCACTACCTGCGCGAGATACGTTCTTTAGGCGTACTTACATGCCGTTCTGTTTCTGACTTTATTTTAATCAATATCACAGAACTAATGGAATTTTTCCATTGGCACTTTTCAGGTACACAATTTAAAAACACCACCGTGTGGTGCCTCAAAAGCTTCATCGATATTTCTCAAAATGAAGTCAGAAAAAAATAACAATGATTTGGCCAAATTACAGTTTTTCACAGATACCTCAGTAAGGCATGTAATGTTTACAAAGAGCGCAACTTATTAATAATCAACCTAAGTCGTATCTCAGGTATTGAGATACTCATGCATAGTATCCTTATCTTGAGCACCCTCTAGACAGTGATCGCCAACCTGTCGAGCGCAAGCTACTGGTAGCTCTCAAAGGCAATTCTGGTGGCTCACAACATATTTTAAAAAGGCGTCATAATCACAGAAGCTTGCGTAAATTTTGTAAATTCGCATAATAAACACAAGCAGCGCCAACCCTGCGGTGAGAGATCTGTTCGAGAACGATCTGGATTACTTTGAACGGCACAAAGTCCAGCGGTTGGATTAGAGTTGTCCTGCAATTAAAAACATTTTGAGCAGTATTAAGAAAATGAAAACACCATTTCCATTCGGAATGGAAAGAACAATATTGGTTTACATAAGTTAAAGGTAAAAATGTATGTTTGCAATGCTCTCGTATGGCAAATTAAGAGCCTTCGTTTCGACTAGGGCTTGAACTCACGGATTGAATGTCACAAACACCCCTTCCAACGTACGGTATATTGTCCAATAAGGATAGATCGAGGAAAAAACTAGCACTTGTGGTGCCTCCGCGACATAATTTATCATTTTTTGTCGGAGATTGGTGTTGCGCTGGCAGGCGAAGGACGACCGATAACCCTCCCTGTGGGTAAAAAACTTTCTACCACCAGCCCCTCCACCCCAGTCAACACGCACCGGATGTGTCGTGGGAGGACCGCATGGCTCTGTTATTGTAATCGATGCGGCGCTGCTTGTGGCACACTTTTTTATGCCTGGCCTATATCTGGCACCGAATCTAATAACTGGAAAGCTCCGTGGGACCTTGGGATTCGTCTGTGACCTCAAAAGCACAGACCCCTCCGAAACGTGTGCTTGAAACTTTCAGTCTTTATAAAAGTGATCAAGGAAAGCAAATTTACCCACATATGTATGCCTGACCAACTTAAGTAACACCGACAAACTAGTAGTGATGACTAAAGAACAGGTGTTTTGGGATAAAAAATTAGAAATCCTCAAAAACTACTTGACCAATCTACTCCAATTGTGTGGTGGCTATTTAGAAGTACGAGTCCTACGCATTACCAACAAGTGCCAAAACCTGCAGTTTTCCTCGGTTTTCGGTCATAACTTTTTTGCTATTAGCCGTATTTTTTTATGTGTGGTCTCATAAATACCTAAAAATCTTACATGAAAACCTTTTTCGTTCCTGTCAGCACTTTCGACCGATGAGAGAAAACGCGTTTTCTCATTCTTTGTTGTCGAATAAAAAGTTTTTCCACAAAAATTGGCGTACGCAGTTTATGCATCCATATCTCCCTTGAACAACTTGCAATAAAACCAGACTTTACAATTATTTCGCAAACTAGGGGTATTTTGCAACTACTTGAAATTCTTCAAATCCGTAGGATTCATACTTCTAACAACAACAAAACTGAGTATTGGTCAAGTAGTTTTATATAGTTTCTAATTGCTTGTCCAAAACAACACATGTTTTCCGGCCATCACTACTATTTTATTGAGTAAGCAAAATACACTAGTTTGCCTTGCCGATATGAATCGCAAACCGTTCCGAAAGATAAATGTTATTTTTATGCGAAAAACGAAGGTTACGTTTTTTGCTTCTAAATGAATTCAAACATTTCGTATTTGTAATTGAACAAATGCTCCACGATATTCGACAAAGATACGTTGTTGTACACACTTTAAAGCAAAGCGGATCCCAACTAACAATTAGATTAGATTGAGATGGAAAACTGAACTTATCTGCGTTAAGTCTTCCACAAATCCTATACTCAGACACAATTACACTAATGTTCATCACTTTATATCTGTAATTTCGAACTGAAACATAATTATTTAATATCAAATAGAGGAATAAATGTTTGCCCAATATGGTGGGTGGTTGTGTATAGTCATGGCATCGTCCATGTTGTCTTTAGTTTATTAGAATATTTTGGTGTTGCCTGTAGGTGTTATACAACAATTTGAAAAATGTCAAAAATGAAATACCGACAGAGTCGAATGATTTACCTAGAATTTGTACCAGATCTATTATCTTCTGTTTGAACAGTTGAAAAAACCTTCTTAACCAATATGCATGCGTTGTTTGTCTAAAAACATTGGTTATGGCATTTTAACAAAAATATGACAGCAGAAAGTTAGGTTATGGTGAAGTTGTATACCAACATATTTAGCATATGTACAGCCTTTAACAGTTACTAAACAACAGTGCTTCCGTTGGGAGCAATTTGTTGGCTAAAGAAGCAAATTTGCACAGCAAAACCAAAAGGCTCGGGTTTGTTTTATAAACGTTACCATGGATGCCACAACACAACCATTTTGACTAACCTGCAAATATGCCGTATAAAATAGTTGTATAAACGTTTATGCAACAGTTAAAAATTTGTCCTATAAGGTGTTGTGTAACTATGGTATAAGAATATTTTAAACACCTCATTTTAGAGCAAATATGTTGCAGAAAGCAAATTTGCATTCTACACAACATTAAGCCAACATTTTGGTGTTCAGGCAACAATAATAGAGAGCTTTTATGGCTGAACGGTTCTTTTACTAAAAGCTTATAGCACTACTTTGCTAGTTGGGATGTGTCTATCATCTTTTGTTACGAGTTACTCACAAATACGAAATGTTGTTTAGAAGAAAAAACGTAACCCATCCTGTTTTGTGTAAAAATAACATTAGTCTACCGGAATAGTTTGCTATTCATATCAGCACGGTACAGTAGTGTATTTTGCTATAAAACGCCTTTTGAACTAACCCTGTATATTGCTCAATAAACTAGTAGTGATGGCCGGAAAACGGGTGTTTAGGAATAAAAAATTAGAAATCCTCAAAAACTACCTGACCAAACTACTCCAATTGTGTTGTGGTTATTTAGAAGTACGAATCCTACGAATTTGAAGAATATCTGCGAGAAACCATCGTCGCATTACCAACAAGTGCCAAAACTTGCAGTTTGTCTCGGTTTTCGACCATAACTTTTTTGCTATTAGACGTATCGGTTTTACGTGTGATCTCATCTTGTAGCTCTCATAAATACCTAAAAATCTTATATGAAAACTTTTTGGTTCCTTTCGATTGAATCAGAAAAAATGCGTTTTCTCATTCTTTGTTGTCGAATAAAAGGTTTTCCCACAAAAATGGGCGTACGTATTTTATGCATCCATGTCTTGAATACCCCCGTGAACAACTTGCAATAAAACCAGACTTTTCAATTATTTCGCAAACCACGGGTATTTTCGCCTAATATTAGTAGACTACCTCTAGAATCTATAGTTGCAAATTTTTATGGCACATTTATGTTACAACCGATAAACACTACACCCCTTATGGCTATTATAAAGAAATGTTTAGGTACATCTTGTATAGGTCATCACAGTAACCGAGAGACTCGGTTATTTTAGAAAAGTTCATTCAACTACGACATGGAGGAGTAACCTAAGAGAAATATCAGTAGGACTCTTGGTCTCATTGATTTTGGGAATGTGACATGCTAAGTACCATGGCAATGATACGAGGGATGTCTTTTAAGTTTTGCATATGGAAATAAAACAACACGGTGGGTAGTTTTAAATGACTTTATTGTTTTCGAAGTATTCTCCACGAAGATTAATATACATCTGCATGCGCTCGAACCAATTTTCGAAGCACTTATTCCACTCGTTTGCTAGCAGATCCAAAACAGCATTTTTGAATGCGTCAACTGTTTCTTCTGGTAACTGGAACCTTTGACCACGCAGTCTGTTTTTAATTTTCGGGAAAGTAAATAAATGTTAGGACTTAGATCGGGTCTATATGGAGGATGGTCCAATAATTCCACGTTTTCTTTCGTTAAATACATTCTTGTTTTTTGGGCTGTGTGCGAGCTTGCATTGTCTTGGTGGAGGATGATTCTTCTTTCGGGGTTGATTTTTCGAAGTTCGGTGATGACTTTTGGCAAACAAATGATGGTATACCAATCCGCAGTAACAGTTCATTGCTCATTAAGAGGAGTTGTAGCAATATGACCCGCTTTTGACACAAATGTCGCGACCATCTTTTTCGAAACACTTCGAGGACGGATGACTTTTATTGGTTTTTCTTCACCTTGGCACTCAAAGAGCCGACTGTCGTTTATTTTCTGGTTCATAACAGTAAATCCACGATTCATCACCACTAACAATGCTGTACACATTTTTTGAGTTTCCGGAATTGATACGGTCAAACGTTTTTTGACACCAATTCACCCTGGCAGCTTTCTGCTCTTCAGTCAACAGGTTGGGTATCCAACGAGAAACTAATTTTCTTACTCCTAATTCTTCATGTAAAATTTTTTGAATTGCGCTCAGCATCGACGTTTTCCTGGATGACTGCCATTTTTGGTGCACCCACCCTGGGATCGTCGTTAAGACTCACCCGTCCACGTTTGAATTCTCCATACCAAGGCATTCTTGTTGCGATAATTGTCTCTGAAGGTTGTAATCAATTGTGGCGCGAAAATGTTCTCGGTTGAGTTCCATTTTAATAACGACTTGGTGACAATTCAAAATTCACTGTAGTGAGTACACTGCACGTATTGTTGTGAAAGTTTGAATTTAAGTTTACTAAAGAGTTAGGTTAAGATTCAGTACTGACGTTCGATCCGCGCGGCCTACTATGTTTTTATATGCAAAACTTAAAAGACATCCCTCGTATGGCAAGCGTGCTTGAATAAGTGGAATCAGAAGACAGGCTTTTTGAACCACTTAGCGATTGGACTTAGTTGAACGTCACTCAACGTTGTATACAGCAATACCTTCCCGAAGCATCCCATGAGGTGACCTTTTCGTAGTGGGTGCGATCTCTGACTATAATCCAAAAGAGTAAGTCAAGACGAAATCGAAGGTCAGGTCCTCATCACATTACACGATATGATAGATGACCTCTCCGTAGCAGATCATGTATTTTTTCTCTAGTCGGACGCCTTAGCGTCTGTTCGCATTTGTCTCCCGCGAAAATTATCCCCGTCCTAAGCACACACATTTCTTACGGGTGGTGTCCCAGCAGCTAGACGGCGAATTTTAGTATTCCGCACCAAAGGCGGTTAAATTCTCGACGGCAACGGCCATTTCTATTCTCATCGCATTTCCACCGGCATTTGCCGGTGACGTGATTTGTGCCTCTCCATGTCACTTGATAGCACTCGCCGAGGAGGTGCCGCCATTCCCCCGCTCCCTCAGGTGAAGAGGCAATGGGCGTTTAACTCCCCGGGTGCCATCAGGGAAAAGAGACAACAAACTGGCGAAATATTTTTTAGATTGCATAAAGGCTGTTAATAATAATAATAATAATGGTTTATTGGTGCTATTGCACAGAACGTGCTTGCACAAGTCAATATAATAGAAGCGCTCAGTTACAAGAAGAAAATAAATGACAAACAATACATATAATAACAAACAGTATTACACACACTTAAATATGGGTAAGAGGATGACAATAAAAGTATAAAAGATAAAATTATTACAAACTACGTTAAGATCAATAAATAAATAAGCATAAGAGATACAACAGAAATAAATATTTTATACATGGTTCGAATAAGTAGCAAAAAAAGGAAATGTAGCTTGAAATATAACTATTGAGTATCCGTTTAGAAGTTGTGGTTGAGGAACTCGTCAATGGTGAAAAAAGCAGCCGACAAGAGTAATTTTTTCACAGCATTACTGAATTCATTGTATGCTAGTGATCTTAGTTCCTTAGGTAAAATATTATATATTATATATATATATATATATATTATAAAATTTTATGCCATGGTAGTTAACTCCATTCCTCGTTTTAGCAAGTCTATGTTGTTTTGGGTACAAGTTGTCTCGGTGTCGGGTATTATATGAATGAGTTTCATGGTGGCTTGTATAAAGGTCAGGATTTGACTTGACATGCAAGAGGCCGCTCAATATATATGTGCCAGGCAAAGTCATGATCTTTAGTTTGATAAACTCAGATCTGCAGGGATCTCTATATCTTAGATTTGCTATATACGTATATCGGATACATCTTCTCTGTAGGGCAAATACTCTGTACATGTGGGGAGAGTGGCCCCACACCAGAAGGGCGTGTGTCATTTTGCTATGGAAGTACCCATGGTAACTGGTCAACAGGACGTTTAGTGAAACTGAGTGTTTTAAATTGCGAATTAAATAAATTATGCTTGTTAGAGATTTGGTAACATGACTGATATGTTCATACCAGTTCAAGGAGGAGTCGATATAGACACCAAGAAACATCACAACCTTTGCGTGGTCACCATTCTGATATTTCGAAGTGTGATTGTCAAGGATTGAGATTTGTTTAATTTTAATGTTCATTTGTTAGCTATAAACCAATTCTGAATGCTAGATATACTGGCCGTAGCTTCGCTGTTGATGTTTGTAAATGAATCGTGGGCTGAGATCAGAGTGGTGTCATCAGCATAAAGAATAAGCTTACTGTTCATACTATTAAGAAGACAATTTGGTAGGTCGTTTATATACAGTAAGAATAACAAAGGGCCAAGGACAGATCCTTGTGGCACGCCATGTAAAACTGTGCTGACTGACGATGTGCAGTCATTGTATTCGACGAGCTGTTGCCTTTGCTCTAAATAGGATTTTAGGAGGACTACAGCAGAAGGATCGATTGAGTAATACGGTAGCTTTGAAAGAAGTATATCATGCTGTACAACATCGACGGCCTTGCTCAGATCGAAGAAATTTGCCTCTATATATTGCTTATTTTCAAATCCATCGTGTGCAATGTCAATAAAACTGTTTATTGCAGTAATGGTTGATAAGCCTGTCCTGAAGCCATCTTGATGAGAATTTAGGAAATTTTTGGTTTCGAGATAATTGCTCAGTTGGTCCTTGAGTATAATTTCAAAGATTTTCGCGAAGTAGGGTACCAATGATATAGGAAGGTGGTTCGAAACTTCGTCAACAGACCCGTCTTTATATATAGGATTAGCTTAGTAAGCGGGTAAATAATTACGTTAAACATCGATTTCACAATTTTACTATTAAGTTTATATACGTCGGTGCTTTTAGAGTTTTTGATAGAATTAATCGCATCCCTAACTTCATTGTATGTAACATCACGAAAAGAAAATTGATTTTTTCTGCTATGATTATCCATATAGCTTAGTGGTAAAGTGCCATGTGACGGTAAGCTTTCTAAAAGGTTATTAACAACGGTGGTGAAAAATGTATTAAACTGGTTATGATGTTGTGTCAGTAATGCCAGACTTAAAACATATAGGACGAAGCATAGCCAAGTTTTACCAGCATGACAGCGGCTGAAAGGAGAGTGGCATAGTTCTCTAGGGCACTAATCTCGATATTTATCTTTCTATATCATAATGGGGTACGACGTTGCTTAGTCCGCGCTTTTTCTTAGTCTAGGGAAAGTATGTATAATCTGGCAGCACCGCATGGAAGGTATCTGAGAATGTCCCTCATCTACGAAGTCTCAACCCCCAGGGCTTCAAATAAAGGAGAACCCCATGCAATTCCAGATTTCACCGTACCCTATAGTCGTCGGACAGCTATTGAATGGCCCCTGTATACAAAAATTGTTTCCGATCTCTTGATTCCCGCTGTTTCTAAAAAATACTAGACGTTCGAAATGCCGAAAGACCTTGAGACTACTTGAAAGAAAAGCCTACGACTTATACTTCAGGTTCAAAGTTGCCGATCAAGACAAAACTTGGGCTCCCAAACATGCTGCCACACATGCTCAAGAACCTTAGCAGGATGGCTACAGGGTACTCACACTACTATGAAATTGGGGTGCCAATAATTTGGCGGGAACCTAAGAATCATGTGATGATTGTTACTTTTGCTTAACAAAAATTATGGGATTTTCTAGTGAAAGCAAGCATGAAATAGTGTATCCTAATGTCCCCTCGGCCAGTAGACCTGTACTTATGACTCTTCTAGCATACCTTTTCCTAAGCCTCTGAAGAAATATGATGAATCAGATAATTCTGACACAGAGGAGCCAGAAGTCTTAGAGAGGAAGTCGTTTACGAATTGCATAGCAACAGACATCCACATTTTATATCTCATGAATGCCTCAATGGACTTGTTCGTGATTTAGATCCTCCCAAAAGAAAAGCACAACTACTTGGATCCCGTTTGTAGCAATTGCGCCTTTTTCCACGTTTCGGAACAAGCAGTCTATGCTGGTCGTATTTTTCTCGATTGAGAATGATATAGTTTACTGTCATGATACTCCAGTGTCCGAGTGGCGACTATTAATTTATTGACTCTTTGGACACAAGTCTAAAGGCAGTCTTGTTTTTCAATGAAAGCGAACGGCCATCAGCTCCCGTTGTTCATCCTGAAAACATGAAAGAAACATAAGTACCAGAACATGCGCATATTACTCAAAATACGAAGATCACAAGTTGAATAGGTATCTCTGCCGATCTCAAAGTTACAGTATTGCTCACAAGGCTGCAGATTAACTTCACAAAATATTGTTGTTTTTTATGTTAATGGGACAGCAGAGCCAGGAACCAACATTCAAAAACGTACGTAGCAACTTCCTGTGCAACAAAAAGTCGGACAACTACAAAGATCTAGTTGAAGAACTTATCCAATATTATAAGGCTTTCGGTTGCAATATGCCAGCAAATTGCTCAGATGGCAAAGCGCTATACTGGAAAATGGACCCCAAACATACTGGCGGACTACTGCTGGACCATTGAAAGCAAAACCGCTCCTTGTTTGATTGTTTTTTTGAAAGAGGATTTTTTATTTTTTTTTATTTTTAAAGTTCACCGCTAGATCGCGTGTAATTTGGGATTTTCATATTTTATATTCTCCCTCCTCTAAACACTTGTGGGTGATCGGGAGAAACTGACTGCATATTAGATTTCAGTACAACACAGTAGACGCAAAAAATCCGACAAAATGTCGGAGAGCGACAAAAATTTTCAGAATGCCGAACAGTGTAACTGATTCCGATATGCAAGAGGTGCATGTTGTTCAGTAGGAAAGAGTAGGGTTAGCAAAGCGGATGATATCTCAGAAGCAAAGTCATAATCTCAAAGCAGGAAACACACCAAGCTAGTGCTGCTAGGGACGGCAAAAAGGTCAAGGGTGACCCAGCTGCCACTGGTACGTAATAGGACTGCCGATCTTAAGCACTTTTTGTACGTTAGAGTACTGCGGTATGAACTTAACCGCGCGTACTACTTCGTGCAGTTTAGAGAAGGACAGCTCGACTGACCGGTAAAACCCCCCCATGGTAATCATCGGGAGGCGAGGTCAGAATCTCTTGTGGCGACACTAAACGGCGTCAGGTGGTGGAACCAAGGACATCAAAATCAATTATAGCAATTCAGCTGATTCTATATTTTCTGTTTGTAATATACCAACTTATAAAACTTGAGACAACATGCTTAAAATTACAATACCACAAGTGAAGTAACGATGAAAATAGGATGTGAAACCGAACTATCTTTAGGAAAATCCGAACAGACTTAAACTAGATTTGTGCA